TAAAAGGAGAATGATAGGACACTTAAATACTATCATAGTTATTTCCTATTAAAACTAATGATATCTTCAAAAACAGTTGATATTCAACCAGTGCAAGGTATAAAAAAAAGTCATTGGAGTTTTGGAGTTTCTTGTCTAAAGGAATGTATAACCTTTGGGTTCATTATTTATAATGTTTATAATGTTTCTAATGTCAGAGGTACTTTTGTTCCTGTTTATTGGATTATTGCTGGTCACCTTCCTGAGATTTGAAAGACCATAGAAGACCATACCTATTCTTCTAAATTATCATTATCACAAATTAATAATTTGGCCCTTTTCTAAATGGATCTCTCCCCACAATTACACTAAAACATAGCGATGGATCACAAATTCCAGGGGGTCCGACTGGTCCAGGCATTCCCGGAGTGCCACGATCTCCATCTTTACCAGGCTGCCCACGCTCCCCTGGACGTCCTTCCTTACTCATACCTGGCGGACCTTCAGGACCTTAATAACACACATGCAATAAACAAATACATTACTACTGAAATAAAAACACGAGCAAGTTCAGATCCACCCCCACACACACCCCTGCACTTTGGTGAAGTCTGTAGATAAAGAAAATTTCATTTCCCAAAAAAGACACTTCTCGTCACAAACTGTTTATATATTTATACACACAATGTGATACCTTACTAAGATTTTTTTAAAAGCACATGGAAAACACATTAAATAAAAATTGCTTTTAAAGGACAATATAAAAATCTGCTTTAGTACACAGTTATACTTTATCATGTAATCTGGAACCACCATCAAATGAATCAGTCCCTCTACTTCTATTTGTTTCTCTGGATTGGGATCAGGCCCTAATATCTGTTCCAAACAGCCAACTTTGCATTTTTTATGCATACACTAATGTTAGGAAGAATATATGCCCTCACTAAGCAATGCTTACATGTCACATAATCATATCAAGGCTCAGTTTTCACATAATGGTTGATTTCAGGATCCATCTATCAAGAAACAGCAGTCTCAGGTACCAACCTCTACAAGACATGTCTTATATTAAACTATGTATTAAATAACAATTTATAAGGGCATGCAAGAGACAGGCATTAGCCCTAAAACATACATGGAAATTAAGATATGTACAAACTACTTAAGTTTTTCCCAAATTATACCAACATTTTTTCTAAAACATATTTTTTGGAAATTATTAGCATGCACTGAATCTGCACAGCCGAGCCAGCCCTCACCTGGAGGTCCTGGGGGGCCTTGGATCCCAGGAACCCCAATTCCTTGATTGCCTTTTGCACCGTTTTTCCCTGGTAGTCCTGTGAATTAGCAAACACAGGTATATCTTTGCACAGTATTTTCATCCAATGAACAAGGAAGTCAGCATTTGATAACATTTATTGAATAAAATAGCTAATATTTCAAAAGCAAATAATAGGATGTAAAGTAAGCATTTTCTTGTAACCTACACAGTGTGACTGGGTTCTAAATTATCCTCATTTCAACTGAATTTAGAGCTGATGTAGCACTTGTTAAGCAGACAGTCACTATGAGTGAGGGAATAGATGACAGGTAATTAAAATTTGCTGTCATTGCCTTCCAAATGGCGAAGATTTTAAGAAGTTGTAAGTTATTCACCATAACCCATGTGGAATACAGAATATATACACAGTCCTCTACAACACACAGCAGAATTAAATCTCCACCAAAGAAATAATGAGAGGGTAAAAATATGAGCTCTCTTACACTAGAACAACCCAGTAAATTCAGTTTCTTCATAGAGACATATACCCATTTTTCCAACTCTTATGGAATAGCCAGACCTGTCAATGTCTGCTCCAGATGAAAACTGCACATTCTCCTATTGGAGAGGAAATTATAAAAGCACTACAGGCAAATCATCATTACATCCAGAATAAATGTGATGTTATAGGTCACAGTTAACGTCGAAGAGAAAGTAAATATTTACCAACCGTGTGTCTGCTTACTCTTGGCACATTACTAGTTAGATGTATTTTAGTTAGATGTAGCTTTTCTGATTATTTTGATCCTACCAGTTACCAAATTATGGAATTCAACCAGTCTCTTTCTCTAGTTCCAAACTACATAGGCATACTTAACATAAAGTCTCCAAATACATCAGAGAAATCAGTTGGAATGCTTGGACAGCTGAGTTACCTGAAAGTATAAACCTTAGTTTGCTTTAAAAGAATCTCAAATTTTTAAGAAAAGCATAAAGAAAGGAGCAAAAATCTTTTTGAGATAAAAAGAGCAAAAGGACAAAACCTCAGGTAATCAGAGGGAGTCTAAAAGTTGTCACATGCAAAAAGTCAGTGCAGTTAGTAAGTAGCCAATGAATACTGTTCCTAAAAATAGCAGAAACAAACAAGTTTGGAAGAAAAGAAACTAGAAAACACGGAAATGCATTGAAATCCATGTCTAAGCATATTTGATCTAAAAGAATAATCTAAACACAGCTAGAAACATTTGCATGAGACTAAGGACTCTCTAAAAAGATCAGAACAGGTTGACTACAGCAGAACTGAACACTAGCTATCTTGTTGAGTTCTTGTATTTCTCTTCTTCTGTTGTGTTCTTCGAAAGCAGTGAAACATCCACTCTGCGCCACGTTCACAATTACACTCTGTCATACAGGCCCAGCCACTCTCTTACTCCACGTTGCACTGACCCCCTTCAAAACTAGAAGGAGAAAAGCAAGTCACAAAGACCATTTGCACCATGATGTATGCACAAAATACCTCTTGTTCCACGAGCCCCAGGGCGACCTGGGATGCCCATCAGCCCTGGGATGCCATCATTCCCTGGTAAACCAGGAAACCCTCTTGGTCCTTCAGGGCCTCTTGGACCTGGTGGTCCTGGAAGTCCTGGGGGAGCACTTTGGGACTGACAATGGTTACAGCTTTGTAGTCTTCCACTCTGGAGGATGGCAGGCAACTGGGCTGAGAGAATTCAAACAAAAAATTGCTTTGAGTGTTGAAATAATAAAAACATGAATACAAAATCAGTTTCATCTCTTTAGAGAATATGATACCTTTAGGAAATAAGATGGTAAAGTATGGAACCTGTGGTGTGGAAATGTATCCACACCTGTAGGAAAAAAAGTGATAAACCAGCAATACAGAACTTGCTTTCAAGAAAAAGACTTTGTAATTATCAGGAAACTTCTTTAGCACTTCAAACAAGGAAAAAAAGAGTAGAGAGGCTTTCAAACTTACTTCTCAGTACATCTGAACACACCTGTCGAATAAATTCTTCTGAAAATTCTCGTGCCTGAATTGAACAGAGAACAGTTAAAATAACAGAGGTGACGCATTTCTTGGCGGCTTTTAAGGTACTCAAAAATTACAAGTTTGAGGTCCTATACATACAGGCTTTCCATCTGATCCAGGTGGTCCTGGGAGTCCTCTGTCTCCCGGCTGACCTCTGAGACCAGGAGGTCCAACCAAACCCTGGACACCAGATTCTCCTTTTTGTCCACTTATGCCTGGAATGCCTGGATCTCCTTTCTCACCTTTCTGGAATGAAAAACCAATGAAAAGCCAATTGTATCTTCAGTGATCATCCAGAAGCCAGGTAGCACCACACAAACATATTCTGAGAAAATCTTTATTGATGATCTTCATAAAACTGTCACTAAATATTAACTTGATATTGATGAAATGTATTGAAGTTTTGAGGTTCTTTGGTAACTGTTTCAGATACAATTACCAAATATAACTAGAAATAAGTTACCTTTTTTAACGTTGAGGAACCATTTAACTTACTAATTACTATTTAAAATTAGTATTCATTATTACCACATGGAAGGAAAGGCTTTATTCTCTTTTGCATGAGAATTAGAATTTTTTTTCACAGTAAGTTCCTTAGAAGGCTGGAAAAATTAGAGGTGAAATTCTGGCATCACTGAAGTTCTTGGAAACTTACTGTAATAATCAAGCCTTTGACCCCTATTTCTGTATTATATAAGACAAAGGAAAAATAGTTTGATTTGAGTTAGCAATTTTTTTGTTTCTTTTTTTCCCATCTGATTGGTAATTGTAGTCCATTTGCTTCACTGGAAAAGGTTAAAATAATACTGGAAAATAGTTTGATATATCTTCATCAAAGCAATGGTTCTTCTATGTATGGAATTACCTACTGCAATAGTTCATGTGGAACTCTTTCCCCACTCTGAAGCCAATAAAACATCAGTACAATGTAATTTGGGATGTGCCCAAGATTAAATTCAGTATACTATATTTGCTCCCTGATGAGTTTTTTCCTTCCATTTCTGCACAGCTTCTGCACAATATTATCAGTTGCCTCAAAATTTTCTTTCATCCTTTACAACTATTTTAGATAAAATTGTGGGAACAGAACTATTATATATAACAAAACTTACTGAAACATACAATAGAAGTTTAAGAAATACTCATGCATACAGTCTTCATAGACTTACACTGAATTTTAAATTATGGTATTTATATTATTTTGTATAATTTTCTACATGACCTATCAAAATTCTTCATATCAGAAAAATTCAAAGCTTCTTGGCTTGGTCTAAATTAGTAACAATGTCCAGAATTCTCCTCATGAATTACTGCAGGGTAGCAAGCTTCAAATTCAGTATTAGATTACCCAGTTCTATGCAGACAGTTAGACACTAAAATAAGATAGGTAGTTTATCCCCTTAAAAAAACACAGAAATGAGACAGGTATCAGTCAGGTGCCTAAGAGTGCTGCTGGAAAGATGACCTGAACAGCAGTCCATACCTTCAAAAGTTATACACTAATCAGAACTTTTTCCAAAGTTGTAATAGCATTTTATTTTTTTTTATATTGTCATCTTGAATGTTGTAGTAACAGGAAACTGATCCTCTTAGTTATATCATGTAGATTTGTACCTGTTCATTCCTTACATAATTGCAAATTACATAATTACAAAGGTGGTCAATTTACCATGGTCAGCAAGGCTCACAGATAAACACATGGACCATATGCACCTGCCTGTGGCTATACTAGAATACATGTGCTGAGATCTGAAAACCAGGCTGCTCCTATAGCTAGGAGTTGTTTGGTTTTGGTTGGGTTTTTTTGTTTTGCTTTTTTTTTAACACTTTTACAGCTATGGACTAAGTTTACATAAAAGACATCTGACTTGCAAATTGATCTATTTGAACTAAAGGGGCTAGAAAGCATTAAGAACCAGTGAATACTGGAAAAATGGCATCTACCGTAGAAAAACACCAGAGGCAGGAAGCCAGTAGAAAAACATCAGGACAAAATGTTGGAAGCATCAGCAGAAACTGCCTGAAGAACTTGCCAAAGAGCAAATGAAACTGCAGAGGGAACATTTTCTGCAGAATATCGTGGTCTTTTAGTGCTTAACCACATCCCATGTGTGGCCTTGTTTGTTGACCCTTGCTATTGGGAAAGAAAATTTTAAAAAGGAAAAGAGCTCAGTAAGTGCTGAGAATTACAGGTTGAAGAAACTTTTTATTGAGGACTCAGTCTAACAAAAAACATATTTTATGAAAAAAGAAAATCAACTAATTCTACAGGTTTAATAAAGTAAACACAACATCATTATACATTAACACATAGTAAGAAGATGAGCTTTCAGAAGAAGCATATTATTGCCATGATTTAAAATATTTAAAAAGGTTAGTTCAATAGTATATAAGGAATCTTTTACCAGTTTTGGCAATGATTTAGTAAAACACCTATAAGCCAAACTGTAATTTAAGTATTTCATAGAATCACACAGCAGAAACAGTTCGTATGTTAAAGTGCATACAATTATTTAATTGGGTTTCTACTTAATGTATCCAGCCATAGATATGCAACAATGTTTTAATAAAAAGTACTGAACAAAGAAATCTGTAAATAAATATGTACTCTGATCTCACTAAACATTGAAATAAATAAAAAATAACCAACAAAACCAATGTTTTAAATACCAATTTTTATCAACATGGAACACAAAGATTAAAAAGTTTGGCCATAAGTATATATAGATTAGCCAAACACAACGGAAAAACAAAAAAAAGAAAATGTGAAACTTCTAAAAATATCCTCAAGAGCAACAAATGCAGATTCTGACAAACTAAGAGCAGTCCAAGCAGCCTTGACAGAATCAAAGAACAGTTTGAGTTGGAAGGGCCTTACAGATCATCTCATTCCAATCCCTGCCATGGTCAGGGACACCCTCCACTAGACCAGGTTGCTCAGAGCTGCATCCAGCCTGGTTTTGAACACTTTCCCTTATGCCCCTCAAGTTTCAAGCCAAGGTGAATTATTTCTATATAGACTTAGTAGCAGAGAGAAAAAATTCTACCCTGCATTTTCTGAGTCAGTGTCAAAAAGCAGAAACCTCTAAAAAAAAAAAAAATCTTTGTAAAGATTTTGCTATAATTCTTTTCATTGGCTTTGAAATAAAGGCACACAAAGAAATCTCACTGGTGACAGTTAAAACACACAAGACAAACATTTCATCTGTGGAAATCCTTACTACAGACTTTTACAGGAGCTGAAAATAGAGTATATCAGCAGAGCTCAAAAGGAATTAGGCAAACTCAACACTGTCATTGAATGCAATGGTCTTGATCTCTAAGTTATATGCTCCAACTTTTCTGACTCTCCGAAAAACCAGAAGGGGTACAAGAAGGATCTTCTTTATGTATCCTGTTCCTTATTTGTATATCATGCCTTTCAATTACTGGTTACTGCTGAATAATATAATACTATTCTGTATTTTGATGAATGCATTTTTATTTTACAGTGACCACAGAATCTCTGGATTCCTTTTCCCTTAAGTATTTCCTTTCCTGAACCAGTTTTTTATCACTGTTTTTGGTGGTTGGTTTGTTGGCTTTTTAATTCCCTAAAGTATATACTTGGCTTTAATTATTTTTTTAAAATATTTCATTTAATGAAATATATATTTCATTATGTCTCTCTTAACTAATACTTCTTTCTCTTCTCTGATATTTCTCAGTTTCTCTTCTGTTGCCTATAGACATCTGAGAACAGAAGCAAGACTATAAACACATTTTACAGATCGCATAATTTGTAGAAATAAATGGAATAATTTTGTAATACTGTATTTGTCATTACAAAAATACTTACCTCTCCTCGTTCTCCACTCAATCCTTCTACTCCCTTTAAGAAATAATACGAAAAAAAATTTAAAAAGCAGGCTGAGTCAAATTACTTTGAATCCCTTGTTTTCAATAAATGGCAATTTTTAAAGATTTTGTGATTGTGATTGTGCAAAAAAACCCCTTGAATTTAATGATGAAAAATTTATATCATGGTGAATGAACAACTTATTAATGACTTTAATATCATATACCAAGAGAATAAGTTGCAAATATATCAAAGATATTAAATACAAATTAACATAACACAGACTTAGAGACAGTGTCTTATTTACTTTACAAAAGACAAAAGAAATAAAATTTTGTGTTCTAGTAGAAGAAAACTCCTGATTCTACCTGTTTAATACTGTCTTACTGAAGCATAAATTAATTTCAGAGCCTTTTAAACAGAAACTCAGTGGTAAGCCAGATTTTGCATGGTAGCAAATGATTTCAGAGTCACTTCTGCCAAGTGCTTCAGTGGTGTTACTGACCATTAAGTTCCATGGCAAGTTGGCAGTTCGCTTTTCTGATACACTCTTATGTGCAAGGGAATCTGTATTGTATCTTTAAGAAGTCTTGGAGTCTTGAGAAACCTTGGAAAGACCTAGTGTTGTCCACCAGAATTATCTGAATGACTGATTTTTTTGGTTGCCAACCAAATCAGAAAAGCATGGGAAACAATTTTAGACTCAGTCTGCATTATTTTTTCAGCTTTCTCCAAAAAAAGAAAGCAAGCAAGAACAACTCAAGTTGCATCATTCTGTGGTGAAAAAAAGATGTTTCCTTTCACTATCGCTTTGTTTTGCCTCATGATTAAAATAATAAATATATGGAGAAATTGTACATCATTTGCAAAAGGAAAAACCAGAATGTTTAATTTGTAAAATGTTAGATAGGACGTTACATTTGGTTAAAATCAATGACTGGTCTCTTAAACTATTTCTTTTTAAAAAAATATGCTCAGCTTCAATACTGAACTACTGTCAACCTTCAGGTTCCTGAGAGAGTTAACTAACACAGGAATCAGCTCCTCCTGGCTAGACAGGCAGCTGTATCAATGTCGTAATTCTGAAAAAAGCAGCTGTGGCTTCCTTCCAAGTCTAGTTTTAGATATGTACCTCAAACAAATACTTCTCTGTTTAGACATGACAGAGTATGCAGTTAACAAGTATTTATAAATACTAACAGTTATTTTCTGTGGTACAACAAGATAGCCAACTATGACACAATCAGACTACACTGGCCCAGAGTTAAAGAGAAACAACTACATCTCACTGATTTGCAGCTGAAACAGGAAACATCTGTAATTTATGAGCACAGAAGATGTCAATAACTCCCAGTAATGTCTAGGAGATAATGAACTGTATGAAAATGTAGCATGGTACATGCAAAATCTTAACTACGCATGTATTACTCTTATAACCTTTACATAAAACCTACTTTGTGCTGTCATCTGCATTTTGTATTACGTATAGCTACTTTACAAAACTATCATATAATTAAGGATTTAATAATAAAAAATGCACTTATGGTCTGTTTCTTAAGATATAATATCCCAGAACCACAGAAACATGTAGGCTGGAAGTGATTTCCTTGGGTTCAAGTTCCTTTGCAGAACAGATGCAACTTGATCAGCTCAACACACTGCCCAGACAGCTCTTGCCACAATGTCTGTGAGCAGCCTGATCCAGTGTTTGACCACCCTCAAAGCAAAAGGCTTTTCCTGTATATTAAGTTGGGATTTTCTGCATTCCAACTCATGTGCATTTCCTCTCATCCTTCTAGCACACACAGCTGAGAGAAATGAGGCTCCATCTTCTCTGTATGTGTTGTATTTTTTATTTTAAAGACATTAAGATTGTTTAAGAGGTAATTTACATAACTATGTAATCATGTAGTACATAAATATATTTCACATGATGCAAAGACTTATCCATGTTGATGGAAGTAGTGTTAAGAAACAAATATGAATCATGATCTTGAACTAGGATCACTATGGCTCTCTTGAAATAGGATCCCTATTTTAACAGTACCTGTAAGCCTGGATTTCCTTGTCTTCCTTTTTCTCCTTTCATTCCCTTCAGAAAAGAAGCACATTTTCTTAAAACATATATTTTTCTGGTACACATAATTAAACTATGAAAAATATCACAAAGAGTTAAACCCTGAAACCTCATCCTAACCAGGACAAATCAGCCTCAAAAGTTACTCTTAAAAAGAGATCAAAGCAGAAGCTGTGCAAAAGAACACAATTTCTACTCTGCACACAGAGGAACCAAGTCAGGATCTGAGCAGTGACATGATACTTTTTTCTTGTAGGTATTACCATGATTTTAGATAACAAGGAGGAAAATTCCACTTATTACAGTACACTAGGAAGGCAGGTAGTACAGTAGGTAGGCCTGCTCAGGCCCTAGAAATGCAGCTGGAAATTCATACTGGACAGATTTCCTTGAAGGAGAGTTATAGCTGCTATTCAAACAAACCTTCTGTGGAGCTTAATCCTAAAGAAAAGTTTCTGAATCAATGCCTAAAACTTCTATTAATAGTGTTGCCAAATGATTTCATTAGAAATAAAGTTGATATACCTGGATTCCACTGTCACCTTGGTTTCCTTTGTCACCCTGTGAAATATTAGAAGAAAAATCTCCATTTCAACATTATTCATCTCAAAGACATGTAGTTTGCATTTTAATTTAACACAAGAGAAGCATCTATTAGCTTTTATGTATACTGAATGAAAACAAGTCACTTTATCCCCATGTACACAAACACTGAGAAAACTCCAGGAAACTATACTAAAAAGGAGTTTGTCATCAAAAGAATATTAAAAAAAACTGGATACTCACTAGCCAAGTAAAAAATTAAAAAATATCACATAATGAGGTGGAAAATCCAGCAGGATTTTATCCACTCAGTGCATGGGAGTGGAGAGGATGTAAGCAGCAAGGGACGTAGTGTTTCTTATGGGTTAAATTTAAGCTGAACGTCAACCTCAAGTAGGCTTGCCTTCACCCACAGAGACTAAAGTATTAATAGTTTCTGTAACACTTACTATAAACACACTGCATGCAGAAGTTATACATGAAAATACAAAGAAAAAGTATTTTTTGAATTGCAAAACCCCTATATTTAAATTTAACCAAAATATTTAAGGATTAAGTTCTATTTCCACCCACTCCTTTGGACTTGAAATGTTTATAGTAAATAATTGGGAGGGAATTGACAATCAGATGGTGTAAATGGTACTTAAAAGTTAGATATCTAGGTTTACCAACTCAACCGAACACCATCTAATTGACACTGGAGAGAAACAGGCAGTGCTTGGAAATTATTCATTCCAATTAACAACAAAGGTATAAAATAGATACTCACAAAATGTGCCTATCTCTCTTCATTGATTGAAAAGGAAACTTAAAGTTATGGGAGATGGCTCTAATTCTGTCTGACCTCTTAAATCCTTGTGGGTCTGTTTAAACAGACATGAATCAAAATGTTGGGCCAGGAGCATAGCAGCTCAGGAAACAAAGACAGATCTTTGAGGGGGGTGCAAAACTGCATTTAATAAAGGAAAAAATTAGAATGGAGATATTTGGCTTTGTTTTGTCAGTTTTCTGACTGAAAGTCAGTTGGCTGTAAGAGCCAAACATTTGTGTGTTTGGTTTTTTTTTTTTTTTTTTTTGGTGGGGTGGGGAGGGGGGAGAATATTTAGTTAAATGCTAAACAGTAGCAAAGAGGACATTTCACCATGGCAAATATTTTCCTGATCGAAAATCCCAGAACATAAGAAGACATTTATGCCAGCTGTATTCAGTTGTATTGTACTTGAACGTAAAATACTTGCTTGGTTTCAAGTTTTAAAATAATCTACAGCTGAAAGGCTTCACTTTTACCTTAGATATTGAAACTGAATATATAGTGATAATGAAACTAATAAACTATTGTTATGACACACACTCTTCCACTGGTCTTTTTGTGCTCTGTACATCCCTGTTTCATAA